CAATATCATCACACACACACACACACACACACACACACACACACACACACACACACACACACACACACACACACACACTCTTACCGGTGGGACGAGCGGCCGATGGCGATGTGGCAGCGGAGTGTGCGAGGCTATGGCGCACATAGGGGTTCCTTGGGGTTGCGGCTACAGGGTGCGTCGATGACGACCTTGCCATTCGCAAATTCTAACCACGCGTGAATGGCAGCCCACGCCAGCATTCGAAAGTTTGAATGTTCGAATGCCGGCGGGGGCTGCCATTCACGTGTGGTTAGATTTTGTGAATGGCACCCCCCTCTCTTGATGATCGATCCTAGCCACCGATCTCTTCAGTTCAGCGGCTAGAATCGATCGCCCAAAAAAGGCCCTGGCGCGGCCTACAATTTTGTTTTTTTTCTGTGGGCATATTCTACCGGACTTGGGGGGGCGGCCTGGACCAATTCGGTCTCTCGAGAACCCCCCAGGCGTTTTGCGCTGGGACCACCCGGTGGCCAACCAGCCAGGCTTTGCGAGTCGAAGTCCATATCAAACACCCCAAAAGTTGTTAGGACGTATACGCGGCGGTGAGAGAAGGAAAGCCTGGGAATAACTGCAGTTGTGTCAACTGGCTGTGGCTTGATTCATACTGAAAAGTCGTTGGAGAGAGTGTAAACTGCTTTGGAGCTCTTCTTCCCTGTCTCCTGCTTCTCCACCCCTTCCCCTTTGCTGCTCTCTGCCTTTTTCTACTGATTGATCCTTCTCTTTCCAGGTTTGGGCACCACATTTTGACGGAACAGAGAGCAATGCAGGGGAGGTGGAAGGAAAGGAGAAGCACGAGGAGCGGCTTTCCGCTGAGAATTGAGTGTGCAGTGCACCTAGGATAGTGCATCTGAAGATTTTCAATGGTGGTGGGCGGTGGTAACCGTTTGGCTTTAAGAGTCATTGCTCAAGTGCAAGACCCACCCTTGGTGGAACCCTAGTGAGTGGCAATTAATTGGGTGTTCCCACCGATGCCACGTAACCTGATCTATGACCTGGGACTGAACCTGCGATGATTCCTTGCGGCCTCCCCGTCCTTTTTACTGCTTCAAGCTGTGAAGGGCATCATACTGACCGTATTGAGGCCATATCAGTTGTGGCAGGGTGACTCTGTGTAAGGATGTACTGAAGCTTGGGGCTTCAAACACTGCATTTAGCAGCAATTGTGGTCAGGTATCCCCAGGGAAATCTGACTGTGAGCCTTCCCTTGACTCTTCTCTAGGAGAGACTGTTATAATTCCATTCTTGCTTCCTGGAAGTCCTTTGAGGTTTCGGGAATAGTTCAGACGGCTAGAGCCAAGCAGGTATGTTCATCAGTGGCTGTTTGCTGGGAAGAGAGTTAGATTGTAATGTTTCAAATTGTCATGAGACCTACCTTCCTCCTCTTGGCCTTGTGCTCATCCTCGTCCTGATCCTTGTCGCCCAGGTTCGTCTTGTTTATTTCTTCTTTATTCCTCGTCTACTCCTCTCCCCCTCACCCCCCTTCTCTCTCCTCATTATCCTCCTCCCATCCTTCCCTCCTCCCCCTCCTCCCCCTCCTCCCATCCTTCCCTCCCCCTCCTCCCCCTCCTCCCGTCCCCCTCCTCTCCTCCTGCTTCTCTCCCTCCTCCCCTTCCTCCTGCTACTCCCCCTCCTCTTGCTCTCCTTCCCCCCTTCCCCCTCTTCTCCCCCTGCTCCCTCTCCTGCCCCTCCTTCCCTAGTATTCTTCTTTTCCTGGTCCCCTCCTCCTCCTCGTCTTCGTCTTGTCCTCCTTCCCCTCTCTTCCTCCCTCTTCATTGTCTCCTTCTCCTCTCCTCCTCCCTTTTTCCCTCTGCTTTCCTGTCCCTCTTCTCCTCATTTTCCTTCTTGTTCTTCTCTCTTTTCCTCCTCTATTGTTGTCCTACTGCTTCCTAAAGGCAAAGGCCGTAGGCTCGCTAGCTAGAGAAAGATTAATCATTAATCACTACAATGATACTTCTTTCTATTTTTTCAAGCATGGCTTTGAACTCCTCTCCTGCTTTCTTCCCCTCTTATGTTTCTCTTCCTTCTCTTCCTCCCTCCCCCCTCCTCCCTCTCCTCTTCTCCTCTTTGTTCTTCTGCTTCTCTTCCTCTTCTCCTCCTTCCTTCCCTCCTTCCTGTCCTTGTTCGCCCCCCTTCATCTTCCTTGTCTCTTCTTCCTCTTCCTTTCTCATCATTTCTCATCCTTTCGTTTTCTCTGGCTTCCAGTTCTTCTCCTCATTCTCCTTGTTTCTCCTCTTTTCCTCTCTCTCGTCTTCTCTGATGGTTCTCTTCCTTTTCTCTCATTTTGTCTCCTCTTCCTCTTTGTTCTTGTGCTTCGTTTCCTTCTCCTCCTCCTCCCACTTCTTTCTCTTCCACTTCCTGTTTTCCTCATTCTCTTCCTCTTCCTCATCCTCATCCTTGTCCTCATCTGTCCTCTTTCTTTGTCTTCCTCTTCCACTCTTCCTGTCCCTCTTCCTCTCCTCCTCCTCCTCCTCCTCTCTTCCTCTTCTCCTTCCTCTGTATTCTTCCTTGTCCTCCCCTTGCTCCCCTTTGCTCCTCTCCTTCCTCCTCCTCTTCCTTCCTCTTTCCCTGTCTCCTCTCGCTCTTTTCTTGTCCATTGCTCCTTCCGCTTCCCTCCTCTGCCTTCCTCTTCCTTTTTTCCTTCCTGGTTCGTTTCTCTACTCCCTCTCCTCTTGTTCTTTTTCTCGTCCTCTTTTTCCCTTTCTTCTCCTTGTCTTCTTCATTCTTCACCACCTCTTCTTCTCCCCTTCCCCAGCTCTTTCTTCTCCTCTCTCGTCATCCTGTTGTCTGCTTCAAGAACTCATCCTTCCCCTTCTCCTGGGAGAGCACCCTCACTGATTGATCCTCTCCTTTCCTGGATGTACATGCACTCTGTCATGCCACATACTAATGATTTTTTTGGATGGACGGATACCGATAGGAGCATGGTTTACTTGCGCGATGGACATGTCCGGACTGTAGTAGGGAGACTCGCTTTTCCGCTGGGATGTGTGTAGATGAGAGAGGCTTCTGGAGATGCGAACAGAGGGCTGCAAATTGAAGGGAAGGAGGAGGAGACAGCAGACATGGGAGCAAAAGTGACTATGTTTGCAGAAGGGAATGCTGAGATTGGTGTACTTAATGGATGTACACGGTGTTGAAGCTTTGAAGCGTGGAGAGGAGTAATATTCTCTGGGGATCAAGACTGTAAGATCCAAATTAAAACAAATGGAAAGGGAGAAGGGCAGGATTAGATCGACAGAGACAGACAGACAGAGACCGAGGAAGAGTGACACAGACAGAGATAGGCAGAGACAGATGGAGAGGTGAGCAGTACATCACCGTTTCCTAAGATTCTTCCTGGCACTGTGATGGGGTGGATGATATGCTGGACTACTGAGACTCGGTAGCGGTGTCAATCTGGCCCAATAGAGTTCTAAAGAGAAAGTAGAATGCCATTGAGTGGCATTGACACTCTTGAACTGTGAATGGTTCGCAACTTCGCAGCCCTGTTTTGTGAATGCAGGTTTTAGCTTGTGCCCTGCGAAGTCTTTATTGTTGTGGCGCGCAATTTGCGTGCCACTGCCAGCCCTTTCGCAATGGGCACTAGGCTACTAGCCTTTCTGAGGGTCTACTCACACATGGGATCAAAACAGAAATTTTTTTTGTGCTTGCTATCCCAGGTTTGGCATTTTGCTGTGTTGTGCAGTCACACAGCAGTCGTAAATTGGAAAAAAGTTCAAAAACAATGTCACTATGCTCTGGTCGGCGTTGTAGATGGATCCCGCAACACAATTCTCTGATCCCGCAGTTCTCTTCTAGGAACTCATGGGACTCAGAAAAAAAAAATTGCAAGGACCTCTACAGGTTCTTGCAAATTACTCAACCCTGCGGCGCTGCAGGCCTCTGACATTTGCCACACCCTATTGCAAGTTCGACGGGTGGGCGTTTAGAGTGTGATTGCAAAATCATCGCAAAATGGGCTATTTTGCCAGAAAGGCCCTTTGTGTGAGTAGGCCGTGAATTGTGTCAACCCGGTGTGCGTTTTCTTAAAGGCTGGGATGCCAGTTGATGGTCTTCACATGGTGAGTGATGGAGTTGTGTTTCATTTTTCTGCGTGGCTCCGCCGTACGTGGACATGGACGCAGCTGGACGTCTGGAAAAATCTGGGTGTTCGACCAAACTGACGTCTGGAAAAGTCCGGACGTCCAGATTATAACAAGCAAACAAACAAACAAACCGACAACAACAGTAATGACATCGATAATAATAAGGGTCACAAATAACTTGAAATAAGGGTTGCGTTGGGCCATACCTACCTCAGGCCCATCGGCCTGCAGGTTAGCTTTTGCTGTTGTGAGCTCTTAGACGCCGCAGCATGTATGGTTTTCTGGAACACTGCACGCAGTGTCACTATGCGTCAGCGGTGTCAAAATATGGAGAGAGCCAGGGGTTCAGAGGGGGGGGGTTCAGGAGTTTGGAGGAACAGGTAGGGAGAGCAGTGAGAGGGACGGCAGAGAAAGAGAGGCAGGAAAGCAGGCTGGAGAAGAGGGAGAGAGGGGGAGGAGGGTGGTAGGGAGGGATGAAAGAACAGAAGTGGCTAGAGACGTTAAGAGCTAGACGGTGAAAAGAGGCATCTAAGGGGGACGAGGGTGATAGGGCGGGATGAAAGAACAGACGTGCAGGCAGGTTAAGGGAGAGGTGGAAGTGGCGAACGATGTTAAGAGGTGGACAGTGAAAAGAGTCGCGAAAAGAGTTGTGTAGAGGGGGACGTGGGGTTTCTTGTTCGCAAATTTTTAATTCTCTCATTTTGGTTGTCTGATGTGCAGGTAGGGACAGGTGGAGGTATGAGCAGGTACAAGCAATAGCAGATTTCCATCGCAGGCTGAATCAACTGGCAGGTATTACAGCGATTTCCAATTTGAACCATTGTGATTCTTGCAACAACGTGCAGCTCTCTCTTCGCTCACAATTATTGAAAAGAAGTTTGACATAGGTTTCATCTACTTTCATGAGCTTTTTACCTTCAGGGGGCTTGGTTGAAGGGTTGTTCATAAATACCATGATTACGATGGACCCGGGCACCAGGGACCAGTCCAGACGTCCGGATGGACTTGTCTGGACTGCCCCAGACCGTGTGGATTGAAAAATATATATATTTTTATTTTTAAAGAAAGTTTTCATTTCCCCCCCCTTGGATTTGGCTACGAATTCCGAGATGCTCCTGAGCCAAAAAAAATTTGCATTGCGATGCTGCACAACATATCGTTTTTTCATGTTTTTTTTTATTTGTTTAAACTTTAAAGTCGGATTTTTTTTTCGGGGTGCGAGTGGGTGGATGGATCTGGACACTCTGGACCACATACCCGACCCGGAAATCCAGACGCAGACCCTCTGCACTGCGGTCCGGACGTTCGGATCTCAACCATGAGAAATACCCTTGTCACACTATGACAGAGGGTGCCTTCGATAGTCATGAATGAGAAGGAAAAAAGTAGAAAAAGCATCTAGGTTATGGTGGCACTAAGTCTAACAGGCTCTGGGTTGTCATTCAATGTGGTCTGCGAAAATCTGGCCGCGGAGGGTGCTTTTGACGAGGATGGACTAAAGGAAAAAATGGAAGAAGCATCTAGGCTATGGGGGGACATCTTCCAGGCCCTGGGTTGTCATCAAGTCTGGGCAAATCTTGCTGGAAGGTTCTCCGGGAAATCAGACGTTTTTTTAACTTTAGTCTTTTTTTCATTTGGAACTTAGCAGGAAAAAAAATCAACAAAAGACATGCAGAGTGGCGAAAGGCATGGGATAAGTGTCATCTCGAAAGCGTCGAACAACATTCTGGAAAAAAGAAAAAGAAAAAGAAAAGGAAATCAGACATGCCCAAGGAGAATGAATCTTCCACGAAAACATGAAAGATTCATTCTCGTTAGTGTCTGATGCCGGGTTTGGTGCGCCAAACTTGCCGTCAGACACTCTTTGACACCCTCTCTCTCTCTCTCTCTCTCTCTCTCTCTCTCTCTCTCTCTCTCTCTCTCTCTCTCTCTCTCGTTTTTCCCCACCTCCCCCTTCCTGCTGCGCTTTTTCCTTCTGCGTGTTAGTTTTTCATTTTCTTTTGCCTTTTCTTTTTTTTTTTTCCGTTTTTTTTGGGGATACCGGTCGTTGGTGCTGGGTACCCCGCCCGACGCGACGCGTTAACATCTGCGTCGGGTTTTTTAAGCTGGGCGAGGTACTGGTGGTTTAAGTTCTGTTGGTTTTAATTTGACAGGCTGTTGGCGCTCTCTGCGTTTGCTGCGGTGTGGGATTTCCAGCTCAATGTGAGCATTGGTTGTGGTGGAATGTTTCTTTTTCCCTTTGTTTTTTTTTTGTTGGGACTGATAGCCCCTTCCTCAGCAACTCACAATATCCACAGAAGACAAGGATTATGACGGTGTACCTTCCAATGTTCTAGCGGAAGATTCGTTCTCTTTTTGCACGTTTGGCGACTGGTGATGAAGCCCCGTATTGTGGTTGAAGCTCTTGTTTCTCCTGATGCCGAGGCGCGCATATCTTTGGCATTATGGTTATGTTTGTTTGCTTATATGCGTTCTGCTTGTTGTGCATGTTTGTGACGGTATGTTCAGCAGTGTGCTCTTATCAGTCTTACTCATAATCAGCAGAGGTTTTCACTTTGGCTTCTTTGCAGCCATTCATAGCTGCAAAGAAGCCAAAGTGAAAACCTCTGCTGAAGGGTTTCACATTCTCAAGATTCTTCACTGTTGAGGAGAAAATCTCGAAGAGAGACACCCATGAGCTGTGGCATGAACTGGTGAAATAGTAGAAATACAGACCTCAGTTGGGATCCCAATCGACCAAACCATATGAGTGAAAAGAACTCTGAATTTACCTGGGGCTGGTCGGTTCGAAGATGGTATCTTATGTTGTTTGAAAAACAAAGAACAGGTGAATGTGACAGGATAAGAAGAGCTTAAAGGGGAAACCAGTGGTGTTACATACCTGGAGTTGTTTATCTCATGTTGGCATGCTTAGCAGCTTGAATTCTGTGTGGCTTGTCCGTGTCTTTTCATCGTTTGTTATGTGTTTACAGATTGCCCTGTCGATTTCACTCTGGTGAACTATAGGCCTTTTCGTAGATCTTGCCACCCTGCTAGGATGACAAAGAGGACCTGCTGCTTGGCATTTTCCAGACTTGCAAATCCCTACCTTACACACCTAAGGAACCCGTCAACTGAATGTGCAGACGATTTCTTCAGCGCACTGCGGTCCTTCGGATACAACACAGCGATGCTCGTTCAGCTTTGTCCCCACTGATCTTGGAGCGAATGAATGGCGAAGGAGAGGGAGGTGCTTTGTTATCGCAAACACAGGAGAGGGAGGACAAAAGAGGTAGAGGAGAAGAGAGTGGTGGGGGTGCAAGCAAGCGAGCGAGCGAGAGAGAGAGAGAGAGAGAGAGAGAGAGAGAGAGAGAGAGAGAGAGAGAGAGAGAGAGAGAGAGAGAGAGAGANGAGAGAGAGAGAGAGAGAGAGAGAGAGAGAGAGAGAGAGAGAGAGAGAGAGAGAGAGAGAGAGAGAGAGAGAGAGAGAGAGAGAGAGAGAGAGATGGTTGCAGAACCGCCATCATATCATCATTCCTGCTGAGAAGGATGGTGATGATGGTTGTGGTTTTGCTCATAGACAATGACGGAGATTCACTGATCCACGTGATTGTGGGTTCTTGCTCTCCATGAAGGTTTCAACGGTTTTGGTCGATTAGCTGCCCGTTGAAGTGTGTGATGATCTGAATACAGGCTTCATCGGCTTATTAGCCGATACATCACAGCCGCTCAAGCTCTGCTTGTGGTTTTAGGTATTCTACTATTCGCTCTTGCTTGATATTCAACTGTGCTGTTTTGACGGTGTCATCCCATCGGCTCCTGTGCTCATAGATGGCTGCACTTCATTCTCCCAGCGACAGCGTTGTTGGTATATGGACAACAAGCCATTGAGCCGAAAGAGATGCACTGGTATGCTCGATGCTCCTTAGTCTCTGTGAACCCAAGATTACTGGCCTATTTGAGTGCCTTTGAGTCTCTGTTGACTTCATTGACTGTCGAGCGGAGGTAAAGTAACGTGATTATTGCGAACAAAAAGCAGATCGCCTGTGGCTGAGGGAGCCATGGAGGTGGAGGTGGATGGGCATGTGGTTTTCTTTGGAGCTCAAGGCTTTAATGGTGCCCTCTAGTTACCTAGAGGGCGAGGGTGGGTGGATGGCATCGGGCAGGAAGGAACAGGAAGGAGCAGGAAGGAGGAGGGAGGAGGAGGAAGGAGGAGGAAGGAGGAGGAAGGAGGAGGAAGGAAGAGGAAGGAGGAGGAAGGAGGAGGAAGGAGGAGGGGGGGGTAAAGGAGTTGGAAGTGTAAGAAGCTTCGAAAGTGGCCTGCAGGTGCATCGGTGTTTGCCAGTAGGATAGAGAGCTGAGGGAGAGTGAGGGAGTTAAGGGAGCTGAGGGAGATTTTGAAGGTTATGAAGTTGATGAGAGAGTGTGGATAGGATGAAAGAGTTTAAAGGAGTTGTTGAGAAATTGAGGGAGTTGAAGGGGAGAGGGAGAGAGGGAGTCGAGGGGGGGAGGGAGGGAAGGAGGGAGGGAGGGAGGGAGGATGGAGGGAGGACAGTGGAAATATCAGTGTGTGCTTTTTCCCCTGGGGCAATACAGAAGCCCAATTGAAGGCCGGTGGAGGTGGGATTACACTAAACAGGTGTGATATTTGATTAATGTGTGTGGTAATTTAAATGTAATAAGGGAGGGAGGGAGGGAGGGAGGGAGGAGGGAGGGAGGGAGGGAGGAAGAGAGGGAAGAAGGTGAGAGATATGAAAGAAATCAGGAAACAGGAAGAGGGATGCAATCCCAGCACGCAAAGTAAATCACGCGAGCACCAGGAGTTCGTTTTCTTCGCGACAGTCTACCTGGCTTCATAACTCTCTTCAGGGACCTGAATGTCTATAAGTAAAGAGAGCAGAAAGCTCCTTTCTCTGCCCGATTGTGCGTCTTTCTGCATATCCGACCTCTACCATTCGGCTGTAAAGTTTCCTATCTCCTTCCCTCTCCCTCTGCCTCTCCCTCTGCCTCTTCTGTCTTCAAGTCTTTCCCCTCTCTGTTAATGCATGGCTCCATCTCCATCCCTTCTCGTTCTTCCATCCTCCTTTGTTCGTATTCTATTTCTTTGGCCTCCATATCTCACTTTGTTTCATTTTGCTTCTGGCTTGCTCCATCTCCCACTGCCCATGTTTTTCGCTGTTTCCCTCTCCTGTCTGCTCTCCTGCTTTTTTCTCCTTTTCGTTGTCTATGCCTGCCTGGTTTCTCTTTGGTTCTGGTTCTCTGCAAATCTGTCTCACTAACTTCTGTGTCTTGTTGACTCCCTATTTGTCGATAAACCTGTCCTTGCCAACCACATGCCTTTTCCTCTCTTCCTTCCTTTGTGTGCGTCTCTCTCTCTCTCTCTCTCTCTCTCTCTCTCTCTCTCTCTCTCTCTCTCTCTCTCTCTCTCTCTCTCTCTCTCTCTCT